CAACATCTTTGTTGGTATGTGGTGCTGAGGATCGAACCCGGGCCGCACGAATGCCAGGCGAGCGCGCTACCGCTTGAGCCACATCCCCAGCCCCACAACCAATTGTGTAATGATTGAAATTGAGAAATGGGGGCAGAAGCATTAAATGGCTTTAAAGCTCACTAATGATCCATAATTTGAAGCATTGCCATGCACATACAAAGAAGACTRTGCAGATGACTACTTATTACAGAGAACAACTCAGCACAAGTATTACATTGTGGCCACAGTTGACCATGACCTTAAAGGATGAATCTGAATCACTAGAGTTTCTATCATGTACATTTCTAACTATAGATAGAACATTGAGCAGATGCCAGATGATTATGGAGCCTCTGATTGTAATTTTTACAAGATAAAGTTTCTCTGCCTCCCTTTGTCCAACTTTCTCTGTTGCAGTTCATTAAAAGTGTCATAACATGAATTATTCTATTCACCCATTTATTCTATTGTGAACTTAGTATGGTTAAATAGACTCACTTTTTAAAATATACTCATTTTTGATGTTTTGAAAATGAAAAAAGAAGAATTTCAGAATTTTATTATATAAAAGGAAAAAACCCTTCAGACATACTGTATAGTTTATTTTAGATAGATTTACTAGTACCTGCAATTTTTTATCCCCATTGCTAATACCCTCCTTGAGCCACCATTATTTTTCTTTCCAATGGTTGCAAACTATCTTTCTGACAGATCTCCCAACTTCCAGTATTAGCCACCTTCAAGCTATTCTTTTAAACCAACCTGTGTATCTTTTCAAAGTGATAATTTGATGTATTATTTTCTTAGTGGTGGCTCTAACAAAAATTATCTTAGGCTGTTGATGTCAAATAAGAGGAAGTTATTCTCTCATAGTTCTGGAGGCCAAAGGTACAGACAGAGCTGCTGTCTCCTGATGCTCTAGGAAGATCCATTCCTTGCCTCTTCCAGCCTCCAAGGAGTGTTGGCATTATTGGCTTGTGGCTACTCCTTGTCTGGTCCATGTTTACATTGCTTTTTCCTCTATATATCGAATTTCTCTCTTCCTCTCTCATAAGGATTCTTGTGATGGCATTTAGGGTCTACCCAGATAATTCAGTATTATCTTCTCATCATGAAGTCTTTAAGTAAATCACATTTACAGAGGCCTTTTTTCCAATAAAGTAACATTCACAGACCGGTTCCAGGGATTTGATATGGATATTTCTTAGCCTAGGAACCTCCCTTTAGCTGTTCTTCACAAAACAACTTGAGTTTGAAATGATAACTTGGTCATGTTGTTCCTGGTTGCTCTCAGCATGAACTCCAAACTTCTACAGAGCTCTTCGTGGTTAAGCCCAGTTCCTTCTCCAGCCTCATTACTTGCTGCTCTCAGCCTCACTCTTTCAGCTAAATGAACTTTTAACATTTTTTTTAAGTTTTATTTTATTTCCATTTCCAATCTTTATTGCTTGAATTTTGTACATCCTGTTTGCCAGAAACATTCACATTTCTTTTGCTCATCTAATAGAGAAATAAAACAAAATATATCAGATTTCAGCTCAGTCATACAGCACTTCAGTGAAACCTTTGTAGATTAAAAGGTCCAGATTAGTTTTACTGTTTCTATGTCTCCCTTTTCCTTAATACACTGTCTCTTAATAATTGTATTGCAATTGCCCATTTCTAGTTCCAAATTCATAATCCCTCTGTAAAATCGCATCCCCATAATCTAGYACAGTCTCTGGCATGGAGTAATTACTTGTTGAACAAATAAATAATAGAGGGGAAAAAGATGGATTGGGTTTTAGTTTCTAAAGTTAAGAAGTTAGGAGTTGACTTATATTTTTGAGTAGATATGGAGGCTGAAAAGAATTTAATCATTTTTTTGATTGTTGTTCAGGCTTATGGGATAAAGACACAAAGGTCTACTGATCTCTCACCAGCATTCTTATCTACTACCCTTTCTGCTTTGGATGAAGCCCTACATGGTGGTGTGCCTTGTGGATCCCTCACAGAGGTAAAGTAAAAGCTTTATATACCTTCTATTGATTTATAATCTTCAGAACCATGAGGAACAAGTTTAGTTAAAATATATAAATAATTTCAGCTGGGCATAGTTGAATGCTTCTAATCCCAGCTACTTGGGAGGCTAAGGAAAGAGCATCACAAATTCAAGGCCAGCCTTCTAAGTTTAGAGAGACCATTTCTCAAAACTGAAAAAAAAAAAAAAAAAAAAAAAAAGGAGGGATAGGGATATAGCTCAGTAGTAAAGCAGCCCTGTGTTTAACCTCCAGTACGAAAATAAGTAATTTTGTGAACATTAATCTGAATTAAGGGTATAGTTCTCCATTTAGTACCTGGTGTAGTTGCTCAATAAACAAAGGTTTTAAAAAATATCATTGCTGACTAAAATCTGTTTAGGTTTCTGTTTCTGTGAATCAACTTAGAAAGTGAAGAATACTATGAAATAGTATTATGCAACAATTTGAGGGAATTAAAAAAGAATCACTACTTAGCAAATTAGAAAGGAAAACCTGAAATTTTATTAACATTTTAGCAAATAACACTAAGCTCAAATGAGTTATTTTTACTTCCTGCTGCAAATAAAACTTAGTTCTAGGAAGTGGTAGGTTATTATATTAATTGATATGCATGACAAATTATCCTAAAACCAAGTAGCTTAAAACAGTAAACACTTATTTACTTTTCAGTTTCTTTGGGAATGGCTTAGCTCTTTGGTATCTTGCCAAGGGATGTAGTCATATGAGGCTTGTTTTGGGCAGGAGGATTTGTTTCTTAGGGGCCTCACTTACATGCTTGGCTGGCTGGTGTTGGTTTTTGGTAGAAGACTCTAGTTCTTCCCCTTGTAGCCTCTCCACAGTCTCCTTATGACATGATGACTGAATTCCCCCAGGGAGAGTAGTCCAAAGAATGCAAGATATAAATGTTGGTACCTTTAGTGATATAACTTTGGAAGTTACACACCACTACTTCTGTTTTATTCTTTCATTAGAAGTGAATCTTTAATGGGCTGGGGATGTGGCTCAAGCGGTAGCGTGCTTGCCTGGCATGCGTGCGGCCCAGGTTCGATCCTCAGCACCACATACGAACAAAGATGTTGTGTCCGCCGATAACTAAAAGATAAATATTAAAAAAAATTTATAAAAAAAAAAAGAAGTGAATCTTTAAGTCCAGCCCATATTCAGGGAAAGTAAAATTAGGCCCTATTCTTTAAGAGAAATGTTATGAAGTTGAGGACATTTTAATAGCATCAGTTCTTTTCTTTTCTTTTTTAAAGAGAGAGTTAGAGAGAGAGAGAGAGAGAATTTTTCAATATTTATTTTCTAGTTTTCGGTGGACACAACATCTTCGTTTGTATGTGGTACTGAGGATCAAACCCGGGCCGCACGCATGCCAGGCGAGCGCGCTACCGCTTGAGCCACATCCCCAGCCCACCAGTTCTTTTCTTGAAAGCTGCATTGGGGTGTTCATGTATGTGGTGACTTGATAGATCCTTTACCAATATACACTTGAGGACTTCTTATTCAAAGGTTCTAGAAGCATAGATAGTTTCAGCAAACTTCAGAATAAGAGCAGACTCTTCTTATATTTTGATAGTCATAATTAAACCATAGATTTTTTTTCCTTGAAGAAGAATTGTTTTAGATAACATACATTATTTTATTTCCTATATTCCAAGAAAGATAAAGGAGGTATGTGAGCTATGTCTAGTAGATGCTATTAATGATAGTTGGTAAATGAATTAATAAGTAATTAGTTTTAAAAAACAGCATGCTGTTTCATTGCATCACCACCAGATGGTGCCAGAATCATAATATCTTAAATAAACTTTTTGGGATCAGGTCAAACCTGCTCAATTAATGAGTATAACAATAGTTATAATTTTCAATACTTTTCCACTTAGCTTTTAGCAATTGTTTTTGAATCCAAGTGGAGTTATACTTTTTTTTTTTTAGGTGTTTTGTTGTAACTGCTTAACTGGTTTGGAATAATAATAATAAGCTCTGTTTATTGGTGACAAATTCTCTACTTTTTGTCCTTCTCTTCAATCTTTTTGGGGCTTTCAGATGAATATAGGGAATATCTTGGTTTGCTTTCTATTAAGAAATGAAGTTTTTGGCTTCCTTTCTGGTGCTGCCATGTTTGGGAACCATATCTGCTGTTGAAAGAGGCTCAAGGTGGCTCACTCTCAGTGACCCTGTGATCTTCACTGACTGAAGGAGCCATAGGGAGCCTGCCAGGATACACCAGAAGCCAGGAAATCTAGTTAATCACCTTTGAGGATGTGGCWGTGAACTTCACCCTGGAAGACAAGGCTTTGCTGGATCCTTTCCCAAAAGAAACTGTACAGAGATGTGATGAGAGAAACATTCAGAAACCTGGCCTCTGTAGGAAAAAAAATGGGAAGGCCAACACATTGACAATGAGTACAGAAATCCTAGAGGAAATCTAAGAAGCCAAGTGGTAGACTGTGAAGATAAAGAAGCTAATCATTGTGGAAAAACCTTCAACCAGATTCCACAGCATATTGTGAACAAGAAACATCCTCTAGGAATAAAACCATGTGAAAACAGTGGGGGTGTCAAAGTACTCATTGGCCATTCATTCGTAACTGTGTCCCTCAGAACTTACACTGGACACAAGCCATATTAGTATCAGGATTATGTATAGAAGCCTTAAAATGTAGCATGTTGTTTGTTTTGGTGTCTTTTGAAGACTGAAAGGGACACATAGTAGAAATATTTATTTATAGGGAATGTGAGGTACTTTTCAATTCTTGCAGTGACTTTTAAATACATGAAAGAACTTATATGCAAGCAATGTGGTAAAACCTTTAGTTCTTCCAGTCATATTCAAAGATATGAAATAACTCACTAGGAAGAAATACCATGCATGAAAGAAATGTGGAAGAGCCTTTAGTTCTTACATTCAAATATGTGAAGAGATTCAACACTGGAGAGAAATCTTGTGCACACTGGAGAGAAATCTATGCAAATAAACAATGTGGGAAGTCTTTCTCTACTTCAAATCACTTTTGAAGTTATGAATGAACTCAGTGTAGAGAAGCGCTATGTATTGGCAATGTGAGAAAGCCGTTCTTCCTGTTCCCCTTTAAATATATGAAAAACTGTCATACTAGAGAGAAACCCTATGGATATAAGCAATGTGGGAAAGCCTTCTCTACTTTAAGTCACTTTCAAACATGAATGAATTCATAATGGAGAGAAACTACTTTAAGTCACTTTCAAACACGTGAATGAATTCACAATGGAGAGAAACCACTTTAAGTCACTTTCAAACACATGGATGAATTCATAATGGAGAGAAACCCTGTGTATGTAAGCATTGTGGGAAAGCCTCAGCTTCAAATCATTTTTGAGGGCATGAACATAATTCAAAATGGAGAGAAGCCCTATGAATATAAGCAATGTGGGAAAATCTTTAGTCCTTTTTGTTCTCATCAAATACATGAAAGAACTCACAGTGGAGAGAAATCCTACATACGTAAGAAATGTGGGAAAGCCTGTTATTTTTGGAGTCACTTGCAAGCACCTGAGCAGGCTCACAGTGGAGAGAAACTATAGATGTAAACAATGTGGGAAAGCTTTCACTCATTTTTGTTCCTTTCAATGTCATGAAAGGAATCATGGTGTAGGTACCCTGTGTATATGAACAATATGAAAAAGATGTGTGCTCTTCCAATTCCCTTAAAATACATGAAAGAACTCACATTTAAGAGAAACATTGTGTATGTACACAATGTGGGAAAGCTTTTAATAGTTCTGGATACAATCAAACTCAAGAAAGAATTCACACTGTGAAGAATCTTTATGTATATAAATAATGTGGGAAAACCTTTTGTGATCCTGGTTCCTTGAGAAAGCATGAAAAAACTCAACACTGGAAAGAAGACCTACACATATAACCATTGTGGCAAAGCCTTTATTTTATTTATTTTTTTTAATATTTATTTTTTGGTGTAGATGGACACAACACAATACATTTTATTTTTATGTGGTGCTGAGGATCGAACCTGGGTCCCACCCGTGCTAGGGGAGCGTTCTACCGCTGAGCCACAATCCCAGCCCCTGGCAAAGCCTTTAGGTCATCTAGTTCCCTTTACATACAAGAACTCATTCTGGAGAGAAACCCCAGGTTGGTAAGCAATGTGGAGAATGTTTCAATTGACACAGTTTCCATCAGAGACGTGAAAGAGTTCACCTGGAAACACTGTTTAAGCAATATGGGAAAGCTTTCAGTCAATTCATTTCCTTTTACCAACATGAAAGTACTTACACTTGGCAATTAATCCAAAAGACAGAATATGGGAAAACTTCATTATCATAAGACCTTTCTAGTATTCATGAGATCTACAGTGGAGGTAACTAATATGAGTATAAAGCATGTGGGAACAGCTCTGATGATCTTGGTTCAATTCAGATATGTAAAAGAGCACAGTATGGAGAGAATCTGTGATTTGAAGAAATGTGCAGAAGTCTTCATTTAGCCCAAATGTGTGAATGCACACTGGATCAAAATCCTGTGATTGTGAGACCCATGAAAGGTGTCAGTGTTAATAAATAGTGTCAAAGTTCTGTGGAAAATTCCTCATGGAGTGTAATCCCATAAAAATAGGTAATATGAAAATTGATGCAAAGAAGTTTGCATAGAGTGGTCCAGAAAATATGCAACTTGAAAGAAATGTACTGAAAGTTATAAATACAAGTTATAAATACATAGTTATAAATACATAGTGTTTATCAGTGGCTTATATTAAAAGTAGATCTCTGATTATGTATTTCTAACTTTTATTCTTGGAAAAAAGTTTTAAACTGGGCCTGTGTGCCTCAGCAATTTAATGAGACTTCCATCAACTTAACAAGATCTTGTCTCAAAATAAAAATAGATAAAAAGTACTGGGGATGTAGCTCGGGGGTAAAGCACCAATGAGTTCAGTCTCTACTATCAAACCAAACCCAATGAAATGGCAAAAAC